TGTCAGTTATGAACAAAACTGATGTCAACATCTGTGTGCAGGTTTTTGTGTGGATGTGGGTGTTCACCTCCTTTGGATAAATACCCAGGAGTTTGATTGCTGAATCTCACAGTAAGAACATGCTGAGTTTAGTAAGAAGCTGCCAAACTGTTTTCCAAAGCGGCTTACCATTCTCACCAGCAGTGAATGAGCACTTCTCTGAAGAGCTGAAGTAGTTTTTGAAGAAAACCAGCCCCAGCTGAAGGGGGCGGGGATGCAGCCACTCTGAGAGCCCTTGTGCTCTGAGGTGGGGCTGACCTTCCACAACAGGCAGGAGACATTGGAAGCTGGAGAGAAATGCCTGGGCCCAGTGCCACCAGGGAACTGACACCCTTCTCTGCTTTCCTAGAGCTCACATACCCTGCCGTGTGGACAGCCAGCCTTGAGAGGAGGCCCAGGGCTATCTGGGGACTCCTAGGTCAGCGACTTTGGATGTAATCCTGCCTTGGGGTCAGGCCATGCAGTTTGGCTTGGCAGCTGGGACCCTAACACTTTTGTCTCCCCCCCACCCCCACCCCAGGGGGCTTCCCTGTGGCTTAGATGGTAAAGAATCTGCCTGCAATGCAGGAGACCTGGGTTCGATCCCTGGGTTGGGAAGATCCCCTGGAGTGGCAACCCTCTCCAGTATTCTTGCCTGGAGAATCCCATGGATGGAAGAGCAGGGCAGGCTACAGTACATGGGGTTGCAGAGTCGGACACAACTGAGCCACTAATGCATTCATTCAACGCCACCTGCATCCCAGCCCTGAGTCTTGCTTCTGATAACTCTTCAGCTGCTAGAAGCTTAACTCCTCCAACCTCTATCACCACTTGCTCCCATAAAACTGCCCCTGAATCACACTATTTCAGAGGAGACTCATTCTATAGGTGCCAGCTTCTTGCAGAAGCAATGCCTGCCATTTGAAATCTGCTGGCCCCTATCCCTGCAGGCTTGCTCCCTCAGTTATATGAGGAGAGTAGGTATGGGGCTTTCAAACGCTGTAAGAATCTCACAGGGCTTCCCTGGTGGCTCAGTGGTAAAGAGTCAGCCTGCCAATGCAGGAGACTCAGGTTTTATCCTTGTGTCAGGAAGATCCCGTGGAGGAGGACATAGCAACCCACTCCAGTATTCTTGCCTGGAGAATCCCATGGAAAGAGGAGCCTGGCAGTCTACAGTGCATAGGGTCGCAAGAGTCAGACATGACTTAGCGACTAAACAAGAATGTCATGAGATAAGAAAAGATAAAGAGCTTGGTGAGTCGAGGGGCCCAATACTTCTGTTAGGAAATCCCCTGTGAAATATTACCACCAAATTTCACCAGCCCCAGGGTTATGGGGTGTCAGTTACAGAAGACATGGGGCATAGGGCCCTTCAGCAGAAAGGAATTTGAGGAGGTTGCAGCCTCAGTGATGATACTTACCACTCCTGGCATTCCTAAAAAAGCCTAACTCTGGCAACCTTTCACAGGACAGGTGGGGGTACAAATTGCAGAAAGCAAGAACTCAGGGACCCTTTCATTCCAGGATAACAACTGGCTAAGTGCTTGACTTGTGCCAGGCACTACTCTAATCTCTATTCTAAAGTACATCAACTTCTCTTCTTCCTCTTCTGCTCCCTCCTCTTCCTCCTTTATCTTCTTTTTGGTATCAGTTTTATTTAAGTATAATTCACAAACCAGACAATTCATCTGTTTAACATATACAAATCAGTGGTTTAGTACATTCACAGAATTTGTGCAACCATACCACAATCCATTTTAGATATTTTTGTTACCCAAAAGGACACCCCATACTCTAGTTATCACTCCCCAATCTCCCTACTTCCCCAGGCCCAGGCAACCACTAATCTACTTTCTGGTCACTATAGATTTGCCTATTCTGGACATTTTATATAAATGCAGTATTAGACTTTATTTATAGCCTTTCTTTTTTCTGGCTTCTTTCTCTCAATACAGTGTTTTCAAGGGTCATCCATGTTGTAGTCTGTACCAGTACTTTGTTACTTTTTCTGGCCGAATAGTCTGTTGTACAGATACACCACATTTAAAACCCATCCAGTAGTTGATAGGCATCTGGGTTGCTTCCAGTTTTGGGCCATTATGAATAATGCTGCTATGAACATTCATGTACAATTGTTGGTGTGAACATGTGTTTTCATTTCTCTTGGGTGAAATGGAGTGAAATTGCTGAGTCAAATGATTGCATTACTTTCTCTAATTCTACATCTACCCTTTGAAGTCGAAACTATCTTTAAGTCACAATTGAGGAAACTTGAAACTCAGAGAGGTTGCCTAAGACCAGATTGTGAGTGAATGGTGGAGCAGGACTTGGAACTCAGGCAGTCTAACTCAGATCCCATGCTTCTCATCCCACTTTCAGGGTCTTAAAACTTCTGTTTTACCTAAGAGGTAGCCTCAACTACAAGCATCTGAATTTCAAAAATGGGCCCAGGCCTCTGGGTACTGGAGGATAGCCCAGCCAGGAATGAACTCTGAAGAGCCTAGTTTTGGGGAGGGGTTTGGAGTGGAGAAAAATCAGGTGTCTTGTTCATCGCCTGGGGTGACCAAGGATCTAAGATACTGAGAGAAGGCTCAAGTTTAGGCTTTCTTTGTGTGTGTGTGTGTGTGTGTGTGTGTGTGGTCAGTCATGTCTGACTCTTCATAACCCCATGGACTGTAGCCCACCAGGCTCCTCTGTCCATGAGATTTCCCAGGCAAGAATGGGAATAACGAATAATGCTGCTACGGAGTGGAATGGGTTACTATTTTCTACTCCATGAGATCTTCCTGACCCAGGGATCAAACCCCAGTATCTAGTGTCTCCTGTGTTGGCAGGCGGATTCTTTACCATTGTGCCACCTGGGTCCTCTTCAAAAGTTTAACGGTTTCTAAAAAAAAAAAGTTTAATGGTTTTTGTGATAGTTTCTTTTAGACTAGACTGCCTTGAGGATGAAATAAACATGAGTTTCTGGGAGCACTGTAGTAAATGGTCAGTACATGGACTATACAGGTCAACTGCCCAGGAGGGAGGAAGTCCCCATCACCTCTCTGGGCCTGTGTTCCCCCACTTGCACCACACCCTGCTCTGTGGGCTCTTTAAGCTCTGATTTGTCAGGTTCCTCCAAAGATGACAGTTTTAAGAGGAAAGTAGGATTAGAAACTCCAGAGCAGGACCTCAGAGGCCTTCGGAGCGGAAACAGGTCCCTGGAAGGAAACAAGTTCATATTCTTGCAATAGAAGGGGGGGGGGACATAGGACTAAGAAGAGGATCCTTCAAAAATGATCTCTGTGGGGATCAGCCCTTGGGGGCTGGGGAAGCAATTCAGGTGCATTTAAATTTACTACCTAGCACTTCTCTGGCAGTCCAGTGTTTAAGACTCTGTGCTCCCATTGCAGGGGTCACAGGTTCCATCCCTGGGCAGAGAACTAAGACCCTGCCGTGTTTCCCGGCAGGCACTCCATCCGTCGGGCCAAAAAGAAAAATTTCCCCAACTATACTTCACTTTGGTACCTCACTTTGTTCCTTTAGAGTACTCATCATTGTTCTAAGTAATTGAGTAAGGACTGTGATTCTCATGTGAGATCCGGAGTGTAGTTTTGTTCACGGCTGCCAAAAACTCATTGTCTGGCAGGTAGTAGGCAGCATTGTCAGAAAAAAATCCAAAAAGCCCAGTTAAATTTCAGTTTTAGACAAGCAGTAAATTATTTTTAGTGTATGTTCCATTTATTTGAAATTCAAATTTAACTGTGCTTCCTGTATTTTACGTGCTAAATCTGACAACCCTAGGAGTAGGGTCTCGATAAATATTTGTGGAACAAATGGATAAAGGAGGTTTTGCCTTGGCTCCGCCCTAAACTTGTGGTTTGACCGTTTGAGCAACTCTCGGTCCCTCTCTGGGCCTGCTTCTCTGACAGGTGGGAGTTCGGGCGGCGACCACAGCGCAGGGATCGCCAAGGCAGGAGAGCGTGGTGTGAACTGCCAAAGAAAAAGAGGAAACTAGGGTCATCTCTGTGTGGGGGAGTCTGGACCTCCGGACTGGGTACCGCTCTCAAGTCCTTCTGCCGGGGCAAGGGAAGCCCCAGTCCCGCCCCTCCATAGCTGGGGCCAGCCCGAGGCTGTCGCCATGGAGATACGGGTAGCCTGGAGCCCCTCCCCGCCAGGCCACGCGTTTCCGCTGCGTTGGAGCCTCCTGATTGGACGGCCATCTGGACGCTACCACCAGCCCAGAGCCTGCTAAGGGGTGGGGGCGGGATCTTGTCCTCGTGGGACCCTTGCCCTGAAAACCTGTGCATGTGGCCTTTCTAGGGGAGGATGGGTTCTCTGCCTCACGTGGGGAAAAAGGCTGGGTATCAGGTCGGAAGCGTGATCATTGCTTTTCCTACTAGAGCTTATGTTCATGCCTCTCCCTGAGAAAGAAAGCGGGGATCGGGAAAGTCGGTAACGCCCCCCTCGAGAGCCTATTCGGCCCCCAAAATCTGGAGCACCGGAAGTGCTGGCGACGTGTCAGTGCGCCCTATCCTAAACCTTCCCCCCTAGGCCACATTTCCTACTCAGCTGCGGGATTCCTGGGCCGCCTGGGCGCTGCACCCCGCCACTTCCGCATTGAACCGCCGCTTCAACCGAACTCCCAGGCTCTGCGCGCGCTCCCTCTCAGGCCTGATGGTTGGGCCGGCGCCTGAGAGTAGCCACGCCCTCTCCCGCTCCTAGCAGCCAATGGGCGGGCGCCTCCCGGCGGGGTGGTGGGTAATTAATGAGGACCGGGCGCTGATTGGCTACAGGGTCGTGGCCGGGGGCTGGGCGGTGGGGTAGGTTGTTCCTAAGGTGGGAGGCGGCACCCGTGGCTGAGAAGGAGGCCTGAGAGCGACATGTCCCCGGCGGCTGAGGCACGGCGGCCCGTGGCGCTGTTTTTCTGAGTCCGGGGCGGCCTGGCGGCCGGCTGAGAACAAGACTCGGCGGAGGCTGCCCCCGCTGCGAAGGCCGCCATGCTAGGCGCTCGGGCGGTTGAGGGAGCCGCCGTGGCGCTCCTGCGACTGCTGCTGCTGCTGCTGCCGGCGCTCGGCGTGGTCCGTTTGGCGGGGGCCGGGCTGCCCGAGAGCGTGATTTGGGCCGTCAACGCGGGCGGGGAAGCGCATGTGGACGTGCACGGGATCCACTTCCGCAAGGACCCTTTGGAAGGCCGGGTGGGCCGAGGTGAGAGCCTCTCGGCCGAGCCGCGGGATCCCGGGCCTGCCGTGCCAGGCGCAGCGCGCCAAGGGCTGCGGGCCCCGAACCCCTTCTTCGACCCCAGGGCCACGTCTCTGGAGCGAAGTTTCTCTCTACAGTTTCCTCGGGGGCCCGGTCAGAGCCTAGAAACTGGTACTGGCTCGAAGCAACCAAGAGCCATCGAGACAGAGAGTTGGCGAGAAGTTATATTTGGACCTCGCATCTTCTATTTTCTAACCCCTCACCTTCAACCGCACTGGGAAAGTAAAGTCGGGGGCGGCCTATTGCCACCTCGAGGCCTCACGGGTTTTTCGGTTTTTCGCTGTTCCTGCCCTGGTGGTTCTGCTCTCCAGTCAGTTTCGGGTAGATTTCTGCCGACCCAGAAATCGGCCGCTCTCTTTACCCTCTCTGCAGGAGCGGAGCTTGATTCTTAGCCAGAATGGAAAGGAATCTTCGAAGAGGATGGGCCAGGAAAGTTTGATGGTAGCCTCTTCCCCCGCCCCTTTGGAGCGGGGCATATGTGTGCTTTAAAGTAGAAGCTTTAAGGGCCTTCCCGGAGGGTGGTTATGTCGCCAACCCTACTGCATGCACGTGGGGCTGGTGGTGTGTCAGCTGGGTCATCCGCGTAAGGTTTGAATATTCTGCCTGCCTGTGCGGAGAGCCTACCCCTCAGTGGTCCTGAGAGGTGTGATTCCAGCTTATGGGAAAATGCTTTTGGCTTAACTGATTGAGCAACAGTAGTTTTGAGAGAGCTGCACAGTTCTCAGTGTAAGAATTGCTGGGGGAGCTGGTTAAAAATGCAAATTCAAGACCTGTAGATGAAACCCAGGTTTCTGCAGCCCTGGGGCTTCTGATGTAGGTCGTCTGCAGACCACTCTTCGGAAAATCTAGACTTTCTTTCTTCTGTTCCTAGGATTGGAAAACAGGTTTAAGAAGGAAGTTCCCCGCTTCATGTGTTGGAAGGACATTTATGCTGTAGGCTGGGTTCAAAGGCTGCCAGCTTGGCAACAGGCCATCTCCAGAAAAGTAGGAAACAGACTTTCTCACTCTTTTTGCCGCGATGCCCAGATTTGGCTCTTGCCTTTCCTAAAAGGTTTAACTTGGTTCTTCCAACCAAGTTAATTGCCCTGGCCTCCCTGGAATTTGTTGTATGGGGGGCAGTTTATTGCTTCCATAGACGTGGGGGTGTTGGGGCACAGAGCAGTTTTCCAAAGCTCCACGTTTGTCTTCACTTTAGCTCTGGAATTTATTTAGCCCTGGCATGTAGGTCTCTGTAGCCTGGGTTCAGCTGAGTCAGGGCCCTGGTTTTCAGCAGCCGTCACAGCAGCCAAAGGCAGACTTAATAGCAGGAGGTGGTTGTTATCTTCAGCCTGGACCCTTCCTCTTTCTTCATGGGTGTGGGCAGGGCGGAAGGAGCCCTTGAGGAAATTATAGACCGTTTGTGGACTTCGCCTCTAGAGATAGCTGTGGTGAGGGCCATGTACAGATGGTTCCTTTTCAATTAACAAATACCAGGCTTTTCATAGGTGACCTTATTCTCTTTGGTCCCTAGTGCAGAGGAGGGAGCTAAGACCATACAGGTTTAGGCCCCAGCTACTTTACTTCCCTTATTCAGAAATCCTGGTTTTCATTTGCTGGTAGGAGTGGGTTTGGTTTTTTTTGAGCCTTAGCAGCAGTCAGCCAGGCTGTCTGTCCTTAGGTTACTGGATCATAGTTGCAGTGCCTTTGGAAGAGTTTATTGTAGCAGGTAAAAGTGTGTGACTTAGCATATTATCAAAGCTCACTTGTTCTGGAATCCTGACTGGAACCCTGGCGGTTCCCTGCTCCATGCTGGTAGTCTAGTCCACTTGGGAATGAATTGCAGCAGTGTTAAGGGTTGGATGAGAGTGGAGGGTAGTTGTCAGCCTGTAGGTTGATGTAGCTTGGGCCAGCCAGTTGCATCCTTGCACTTGGAGGGCTCCTGAGGGCAGCATTTTGCTGGCTGTAGGTCTGGGGAGAAGTGATTAGTCTTTCTCAGAAGGCAGCTCTTTAGATTCTTTCTGTGCAGGGGAGTCAGTACCACGAAGGGAAGTGCAGCTGCTGCCTCTGCCTGCCCTTGACTGGCTCTGTTTGGATAAGGGTGTGCCAAGTATTTGGCGACCCTCGCCCCTGCCCCCCGCCACCGCCCCCACCTGCTGCTGTTTACACTAATTTCCGTCGGAGCTGAGCGTCTTTATTCCTTTACCCGAGGAAAGTCCATTTTCGTGTTTAATGAATTCAGGTATTTGTTGCCAAGTTAATCCAGATAAGAGTTTGGCCTGCTTTTGAACTTGCTGTCTCTCTATAGTGTCTGTAGTTTGGCATTCTCGGAACTGTGAGTGGCCCAAGGCACCTAGTGGCTTTTGCTTTCAAAGGCACTTCACATTGTGTATTGAGTTTCATTTCTGCCTTGAGGATAGCTAGTGCTCATAGAAGATGCTGACAGCCTGGGAAATGCTTTTTTCAACCTGTGTGCTTCAGCAGACAGAGGTACCACTATGGAGAGTGATTCAGAAGCACTCTCTGTGTGGGATTCTGGCGTGCTCTGCATCCCAGGTTCTTCATAACTTGCTCTCTGTGGGTTCCTCTTGACTCTGATGGAAAAGACTTGGTTATTTGGCCTGAGGGCATAGAGGTTGGCTCGATTTTAGGAAAAAGGCTATTTCTTCTTCATAGAAAGATGCCCGCTAGTTAATTGTATGGCCTTGATGAATTTACATTCCCTCTCTGAAACTTGCTTTCCTTCTTCATAAAACTTGTCATGCTTTAGGAATCAGTGACATGAGTCTGAAAATTCTCCTATCCAGAGTAGGTTCAAGTGTCTGTCTTTTTCTTTGCTCGAAGATCTTTTACAAGGAATCCAAGTGGAGCAGAACGTGGCTTTGGAGGGGATAAAGCTGGCCAGGGGCCTGAGCCCATCGGATTACTAATTCTCTAGACCTAAGGAAGACCCTGCAGAGGCTTCCCTGGTGGCAGTGGTAAGGAATCCGCCTGCTAATGCAGGAGATGCAGGTTCGATTACTGGGTCGGGAAGATTCCCTGGAAAAGGAAATGGCAACCCACTCCAGTATTCTTGCCTGGGAGACCCCATGGACAGAGGAGCCTGGTGGGCTACAGTCCATAGGGTTGCAAAAGATTCACACAGGACTGAGCAACTAAAGAACAACAAAGAATACTCTTCCCTTTTGGCTGGGGAAGGATTTGGCTTTGGGGAGATAAGAGCTTGAGAGATAATGTGAGAGAGACACTGCTACTTCTGATTTGCTTAAGGCCAAGGGATTTGTTTAAAATTCTCTTCCTATACTGCTTCCCTGGTGGCTCAGACGGTAAGAATCTGCCTGCAGTGCAGAGACCTGGGTTGGGAAGAGAATGCAACCCACTCCAGCATTCTTGCCTGGAGAATCCCATTGACAGAGGAACCTGGCAGTCTACAGTCTGTGGGGTCACAAAGAGTCAGACACAGCTGAATGACTAATACTTTCATATACTGCTACAGAAGAGGCCAGTTTCATTTGCAGGCCCTCCTAGGAGCAGTTCACTGGCGGAAAATTTAGGTAGATGATACCCTGTTTTCCAGATAAAGAAACATCTAGAGACAACAACATGTTCTACATCACATAGTAGGTGGCAGAGCCAGAATTCAAATCCAGGCCCATCTTCCCCTCAAACCTGGACTGAGTTTTTCAAGTAGCCTGGTGACTCCATTGTCTAGAGCTAAGAAGCTGTGGACAGAGTGTGGCCCCTCTGGCCCCCTTTTATCTTTGGTTAACTGCCTGACCTCTGTCGGGCTAACTTGAAATTTTAATTCCAGCTGCCATTGTATGCTCCTTGTGTCTACTTCACTGCTAAGGCAGCCATGAAGGCATAAAGGCTCGGAGGGGAGGTTGCTATTGTCTCTCTTTAGACTAAGGCAAATTCAGTTTTGCATGTGGCAAATTTTGTGGGAAAGCCGCTTGGAAAGCTTTTAAAGGTAATTCCAAGGTTGTTGAGTAGTTCTTTGCTCACACGGCTGCGTTTTCTTAGCTGTGACACTGAGCCTGCCACAGATTACGCTACCGTCAGTTCCTCACTTTTTCCATGCCGGGAGGGGGACCAGGTTCTCCAAACATGCGTGACATCTTCTGTGTCTCCGAAAAGCAAATCGGGTGACCATTCCAAATTTGTAAGGATCACGGTCCTCGTGAACGAGGGAGATTGTTAGAACTCAGTTGGAAGAGGATCGGCAATCTTTTAATCTTTATAGGTTTGTGGTCTGAGCCTGGGGGATGGATCTGGGGCAGTTGGTAGCACATCCTTTGTAGAGCTACTCAGTACCCCCCCACCCCCGCTCCACCCACCGCCCCTTTGATTTTTCTAGAAGAAATAGGAAGAAAAAATGTCTGGAGACAAAAGTGCAATGAGTTTCCTGTTCATTGTCTCATCAGTCCATCTGATCTGGCTGCTATTCACTTACAGGAACTGTTAACAGTTCTGTTTATTTTTCTGGAAGGCTTGACCTCAGCCACTGGATCTTCTAGTTACTCTTTTACCTCCCGTGGCGATAAAAGGTCCTGTCTCTTGGAGTCTCGGAAGATAAAGCTGCCAGGGTGACCCTCTCAAACATTGCCCTGGGGATCCAGGTGCCAGATGTCTTCAGAGTCACCCTGTGAAATTGGAAGGTGGTCTTGACACCTTAGCTCCAAGACTCCTCCTCCCAGGTGGAGGAGAGACTAGGCCCGTGTACCAAAATCACTGCCAAGTCTGTGGTTTGGAAAGTAGATGGATAGAGCTCTGGAAGGCAAAGCTGTTCACCTCTGGGCCCTGAGTGTGGAATCATATTTGAGGAAGGACCCGGGTTTAGTTTGTTGTGTGGGAGAAAGAAAAACATACACAGAGTCATCTCCCTGTAAAATTGGGAGCAGACTGAGCGCAGGAGAGGATTTTGGCTCTTCTGATACCCACCCAGAAGTAAGAACTTTTTATTTTTACTCTGCCTTCTTCCTCATCTGTTTGAAATGGGAAAGGTGGCTCAGTGGTAAAGAATCAGCCTGCCAATGGAGGAGAAGCAGGTTCAATCCCTGGGTTGGAAAGATCCTCTGGAGGAGGAAATGGCAACCCACTCCAGTATTCTTAGCTGGACAGAGGAGCCTGGCAGGCTAGAGGTCTGTGGGGTCACAGAGTCAGACATGACTGAGTGACTGAGCACACACATGCACGCATTCCTCATCTGTCTGAAATGGGGAAGGTGGCTCCTGGACCTGGGCATCTGAGGCCAGAGATGCGATGGGACCGTGGACCCCTGCTCGGATGGCTCTGGCCCCGGGGAGAGGAGTGTGTGACTTCGCTACGCTGCGGGCACCTCCTTTGTTGGCTTTTGTTTCTTCAGTGGATCACACTGAGCATGCTGACGAATGTGCCCAGGACAATGTTAGGTGCTGGGGATACAGTGGGAATCTTGTTTCTTCTTTCATTTTGTCGGGGGGAATGTTCGAGACCTCGGGTGAGGTTGAGTTCTGTGTGTGGGAAGTAAGGTGTTCGACCCAGAGGAAATTAGAGAACATCAAATCCTTTTTTTAATGACCTTGTTGCTTTCGACCAGCCCTGGAACTTTTTGAATGAAAACGTAAAAAGCAATGAAAGCTGGTTTCTTATTTGCAGTAAAGACAATGAAGAATGACTTTCCTAATAGATACCCTGTTTTTTTACTTAGACTGAGCGCTTCCAAATGAGGGAAAAAAATTCTTTGAACTTAATCATCTTGCAGTGTTCCTGGCTACCCCTCTGCTTTTACGAGGTTTCTCTGAAGCCCCGCAGCTGTAGGGCAGTGCTTTGTTGTACTAGTGAGTTAGACTTGTTCCCTTCCCATCACCCTGGATATAGCTGGGGAGAAGTCAATTTCACGAATGTTTGAAAGTTTTGCTGTGAGGGTGATGGGAGCTTGTTGGGGTGATTGCTGTGTTGGTTTCTTTCATTTTATTCTTCTTTGGTAACAGCTACCTGACTCCTGCCTTCGTGGCTGGTCTCTTTGGAGCCAGGTGCAGCGGGGGAGGGTTATTTATTAGCTTTGCCCAGGGAAACGCCCCGGCCATTTCTGGGGTCTCCTGCTCTTCTTTTGTGTTTGGCCTCTGATGTGGTTTCTCTTGTGTCTCTTGTCCCCAGCCTCTGACTATGGCATGAAGCTGCCAATCCTGCGTTCCAACCCGGAGGACCAGATCCTGTATCAGACGGAGCGGTACAACGAGGAGACCTTCGGCTACGAGGTGCCCATCAAGGAGGAGGGGGACTATGTGCTGGTGCTGAAGTTTGCCGAGGTCTACTTTGCGCAGTCCCAGCAGAAGGTGAGGCGGCTCAGGCCCCTACTTGACCAGTAGGGCCTCGCCACTCTGGAAGGAAGCTCCCAGAGAATGTAGGTGCTTAGGAGGGAGGAACAGTTGAGGTTTGAGAAGAAGCTGGGTTTTCTTTTTGAGGTCACTGCACGAAGCTTGTGGGATCTCAGTTCCCTGACTAAGGACTGAACCCCAGGCCACCACAGTGAAAGCCCGGAATCCTAACCACTAGGCCGCCAGGGAACTCCCAAAACTGGATTCCTCTTGCCCAGCTATGTCCCGTTACTACGAGGCTGCATTTGCCTTGGAGTGACAGAAGGTTCCTGTGACAGAAAGAACCTGATGCTGGGAAAGATTGAAGGCCAGAGGAGAAGGGGACCAAAGAGGATGGGATGGTTGGATGGCATCACCGACGCGATGGACATGAGTTTGAGCAAACTGTGGGAGTTGGTGATGGACAGGAAAGCCTGGTGTGCTGCAGTCCATGGGGTTGCAAAGAGTCAGACGTGACTGAGTGACTGAACTGAACTGACAGAAGGCAATGCCAGAATCCTAGATCTTAGCAATTAACTAATCTTCTTAAGGTCCTCCTGGTTATAACCTCTCCCTTCTTGGTTGTCCGTACCTTCTTGTTTTTCACCGTGATATTTTCCTGTCCCTTCTTCTGACTTTCCTTCTTTTCACCTTGAGTTTTTTGTTTGCACTCTTTGTTCCCAGTTAGCAACCTTGACAGTGAAAGAATGTGCTTTTGGTTTGGCTCAGGTAAAGGTCTCTAGCCACCCTGAAGTCTACCCAGCCCTGCCTGTCATTCCTTAAATTATTTTTGAACTTGAAGCCCAGGCAGGTGCCTAATGTCCCAACTGCTGAAGGAGTGTGAAGCAGATGGTTTTTTGTTTGTTTGTTTTGGCTGTGTCGAGTGGCATGGAAAACTTGCCCTACTGGGGATCGAACCTGCAGCCCATATGTTAGAAGCGCGGAGCCTTAACCACTGGACCCCGAGGGAAGTCTGAAGCAGGTGGTTTTGACACCGTCTCCTTGTCTGTCTTGGCAGGTGTTTGACGTGCGGTTGAACGGCCACGTGGTGGTGAAGGACCTGGATATCTTTGATCGCGTAGGGCACAGTACCGCCCACGATGAGATCATCCCGATGAGCATCCGGAAGGGGAAGCTGAGCGTCCAGGGCGAGGTGTCCACCTTCACAGGCAAACTCTACATTGAATTTGTCAAGGTAACACTCCTCCTCTGCCCCTTTGCAGCCGAGGATAAGTTGAAAAGGATGGGTGCCAGGGGCAGGGGGGAGCTGTTTGCTGCCGTGTGGGGGTGACCGCTGTTTCCCTTACTTTAGGGATACTATGACAACCCCAAAGTCTGTGCACTCTACATCATGGCTGGGACAGTGGATGGTAAGTTGTGTTTCTGTTCTGCTTTTTTCAAAAAAGTTATTTATTTTTGGCTGTGCTGTCTCTTCATTGCGGTGTGGGCTTTTCTCTAGTTGTGGCGAGCAGAGGCTCCTCTCTAGTTGTGGTGTGCAGGCTCCTCATTGTGGTGGCTTCTCTTTTATGGAGCACAGTCTCAGGTACTCAGGCTTCAGCAGTTGCGGCCCAGGTGGGCTCGGTAGCTGTGGCTCCTGGGCTCTAGGGGACAGGCTCAGTAGTTGCGGCACAGCGGCTTAGTTGTTCCCCAGCATGTGGGATCTTCCCGGACCAGGGATCGAACCCATGTCTCCTGCATCGGCAGGTAGATTCTCTACACTGAGCCATCTGGGAAACTCCTCTGATCTGCTTTTTGATGTGGGCTGAAGGATAGGGTTGAGGGGACCACCAGGGGGTGATTTAGCTGATCACTGTTTTGAAAACACTAACACTTAAAGCCATAACATGAGGAACCTGGAGTCAGGTGGCCTGAGCTGAAGTGTAGCAAGCACGTGCTAGCCCTAAGCTTTGCAGCAGGGTCTGTGTTCAAATCTTCCTGTCACCATTTAATCAGTGAATTGGTTTTAGACAAAAATCATTTTAACCGCTCTGTAAATAGGACTGGGTATGCCCTGACCCTTGTAGTCATTTGGAATTGCCTAAACCTCACCCTTGTTCTGTTTCTTTGACATCTATGAAGGAGGGGCGGGGCGGGTAGGTAGAAAGAAGAAGAAGGCAGAGGAAGGGCCCTGACTGGCGTGCTCTTGAGCACAGTGTCACTGGGCTGCCCTGAGCAGAGGTTCACTTATTAATGTCTCCTTGTTCCTGGGATCCAGCCCCAAAGTACATCTCTTTCTCAGGGTTGAAGGTCTTGTCTGCCAGCTTTCTCAGGCTGGTTTCTGCAGAGAAGGCGTCTGTCTCAGTGACTTTGCTCCCCATCCCACCTCCATGCCTTTCCCCACCTCATCTGGAGGCGCATCCCAGAGGATGTCTTACTCCCAGACTGGTGGGTAACCAGAATCCCTTGGGAGGGGACAGTGAACAGAGGGGGACGGTGTGCAGAGGACCCAGAACTCCATGGATCAGCTTTTCCTCGGTTGCTTTGTGCATCAGAAGGGAATGTGGGGTTGGAGGAGGGAGAAGGAAAGATTTGAAAGGTTAAGCTTGAGGTGTTGGGTCACTGTCCCTGTCCAGTCTGGTTCTCTCCAGGCTCTGAAGAAGTAGGATCGGGAAGGGAGACAGGGAGTCTCTCAGGGTGCAAGGCTTCTACTCCGTTTTAGTTAAATATCAGAAAGACCCGTGTTTGCAGCAATCTGCTCTTCTCCAGGCTGGGAACTGTGGCTGTTCCTTCCTGTGGATCCTGCTTTAGGTCATAGGGTCTCTTTCTTGTGGCTCATTTACTTCCCTTAAGGGCCTCATTTAAATGCTGTGAGTCTTACTTAAAAGGTGTTCTTGTTCTCGTGTCAGATGTACCAAAGCTGCAGCCTCATCCAGGACTGGAAAAGAAAGAAGAGGAGGAGGAGGAGGAAGAATATGATGAAGGGTCTAATCTCAAGAGACAGACCAATAAGAACCGAGTGCAGTCGGGCCCCCGCACACCCAACCCCTATGCCTCGGACAACAGCAGCCTCATGTTTCCCATCCTCGTGGCCTTCGGAGTCTTCATTCCAACCCTCTTCTGCCTCTGTCGGTTGTGAGAACTGATCACCATCCTGAACAGGTGGAAGGGTGTGGGAAAGAAACCGAACGTGTTGGTTTGGGTTTCTGTATTTTTTACAGTGATTAACAAAAACAAATGAGAAAACACACATACACACATACACACACACACACAAAATTAAAGGAGATGAAAAGAGGCTGAGTGACTAGAGAGCAGCCCTCACCCACCACCTGGTCCCAGACCTGCTCTAGTCCTCGTCCTCTCCTGGGGCAGCCCCTCAGCTATCTCTTCCTCTCTAGGGTACATAGGGTGAACTGGATCCCACCTGGCCAAGGGTCTTCATCCAGCGGAAGGGACTCTGAACTCAGAGCCGACCTGGTTCCTTATTTTAGGTTAGACATTAACAGCAGGGAAATAGGATCTTCTTACTCCAGAAGACCAGTGCTGGGAGTTGGGTGTATTCTGAAGTGATGTCCAGGGAAGTTTTCAGACGTACTGGGATTCCAAGTGGGTGTGTGGTGTGTGTGTGTGTGTGTGTGTGTGTGTGAAGGTGTATAATTTGTATGATAAGACAAAAACGGAAGAGGGATTCAGAAGAAGAAAAGTCGATACTTCCTTACACGGAAGCCTGTCTGGTTTTAGCCCAGTGACGGTTCCATCTTAAGTGTTTAAGCTTTGTCATCGCTTGTCTCCCTGACACGTGCCAGTTAGAGGACTGTCTGGTATCCAAGACGATTCGTTTCTATCAGGTCCTCAAGTTGCCTCTGACTTCTTACCACAGCAGATCATTTTGATTTCAGTGCCTGTTGGGGACGTGGTTTCCTCTCTCTCTCTCTTTTTTCTGAACCTGGCTTATTTGTAAATCTCTTCTCGCTCTCAACCATCCTGCTAAGTTATTGCCAAGAAGGGAAGGAGACATTGGGGATCTGGAGTTCCCTCTGCTTGAATGTCTTCTCCTTCACCACCTCACCTTACTGGTACCTCCCTCCCTGGATCTCTGAGCCAGCAGCCAGGAGGACCTGACCGAGCAGCTCTTTTACTGGCCCCTTTGTAGGGGCTTGCTGCCAGGGGACACAGAGGCTTTCCAGCCTGCAGCCACAGAACACTTGACCTTAAAAGTCTCTTCTGGTCTTTGGATTGGAAAAGGCTTACGTTAGCATAACTTAAGAGCAACCTCAGAGACCTGAGCCCTACTAAGTGACTGACCACTGTTGAGAGTATCTAGTATCCGACGTTCATTGATTCCCTTGTTGTCCTACGTCACGGTTCAGCCAGTTTTGGTTTAAGGCTAGAGCTGCCCCAAGGAGCTAGACTGATTGTATCTGGCCCAGTGACGCCTCTCACTGACCTTAAGAGTATGCCCTTACGACCTTTCATTTCCCTGTCCAGGTCGCTGCCAAGTTCTTGGTGCGATGGGGCAGGAAGATTACCAGGCAGCCCTAGTTCTGGCAGCCCCGGATATGTCTGTCTTGAATTCCCTGCGAAAATTTTCTGCGGGAAGTAAGGCTCCTCTGTTGTCCTCTTTTCTGATCCTTGTCATCCTTTTCCCCGTTAGGGGAGCAGTGAGCTGGGACCCAGCCAAGCTGCAAGGAGTTTTGTGGGTGGAGAGCCGCAGGATGAGCCGCTGCTGGGGCTGGAACAGCAGAGACTATCAGGCCAGGCCCATCTTTAGAACCTGTTGAATTTTGAGTTTGTCTTTTTGTTTCTGGTTTCCAAGAGCTCTACGTATTTGAGCTGCTCGTTTGGGGACAAAGGAAGTAGCCCCTGGGCTCCCGTCCTGGGTTTTGGGTTCTGACCGAAGTTACTCCAGGTCTGCGTTTTAGTCCTTTGAGAGAGTCAGAGCCCTTCATTTCAGCTGTGACTTAGACATCTGTCCTCGGGCACAGAGTCAGGCAGCCTGGTGGCTGCGGCCTGAAGCTGTAACCAGAGGCACACTTGGAGTGCTTCACAAAGCCGCCCGCGTTTCGGGGGTACGTCCTGAAGCCTCTGTCCTGGGGACCACCTATCTGGGGCAGTGGGTGTCCTGACGGTCACTCAGGCTTCTGACGGTGGCTTGGATTCCCGTCCCATCGCCGCTCTCCTGAGGCCACTCACTGCCCACGGGGTAAACAGGATGCGGGAGGGCTTGCGGCCGCCATCTTGCCTTGTCCATTCGTTTGCTGGGTCTCCCTGAGGAAGGAGGGCTCCCCGCCTCCTCACCTCAACCCTTTCCTCCAGTGACTCAGAGTCTCAGAAGGAAACCCTGACTCCTGGGGCCATTTCCTCACGGTACTGTAAGCCAAGCAGCCTTGCTTCTGCCTCTGTTTCCCAGCCCACCCTTTCCCTGAGCTCAGGGGCAGGGATGGGCGCTTTCCTCTTTGGTCGTGTCTGAAAGGAAGGAACAGCTTTCTGTGGCTCATAAAAGCTAAAGGGGAAGTGAGGAAACAGGAAAAAGTATGGCGGGGGCTGGGGTCAAGTCCCCTGTAGCCAAGCCCACCCAGCTGTCAGAGCCGCCCAGGGCTGGTAACGGTTGGCTTGGGATGCTGAACTTGAAAGCTTTTTTTTTTTGTTTTTTTGTTTTTTTTTGCTCCTTCAAGATGTTATAGGTACATGAAGTTTAGGTTAAAGGGGTGGGAATGGGGTACTGTTTATTTTTATTTTTTGTATTGTGTGTGTCAAGAATTACTCTGTTGTTTATCCTTTGCTCTTTGCACTGTTTGTCCCCGCGTCTGTGTCTTGAGCTGGTGCTAGGGCTGAGAGTCTGCACTATAGGGGAGTTGCTGGCTGGGGTTGGGGAGGTGAGAAGTCAGGCCTGTTAGGGGGTGGGAAAGGAGAGGACTCGGGTCTTCTCTACGGGATCCACATTCTGTCTGAGCTTCTAAGATCCTCCTCAGCCCAGGTGGCCAAAGCCAAGAACAGACGCTAAGTGAGATGAAACTCCTGGTGCCAGACGTGTGGCTCAGGTCCAGTTTCCATTTGGACCGGGCACAGATGTCTGTGGGAGGTGGGCTGAGTCTGCAGTGTCGCCCTGATGGGGGTCAGGGACCAGCTGGCCTCCAATCAGACTTTTAGGGGGCTTCACTCAACACTGATGGGAACATCATGCCAGGAAACAATCTGTGGGACCCACATACCTTAAACCAGATATGTTGTTCTGGGGGGAAAAAACAACAACAGAAAAAACCTGTATGATCGAGAAGAAGCTGCTCAATGTTTACCTTGCGTTCTGGTGACTTGAAAGATGGTTCTCTTTGTTTCAGTGGTGTTAGACTCACAGGAGGACCACAGGGCCTGCAGGCCCACCTGTCGCTTGGAGAGAGTGATCTTGTTTTCCTGTTCCCACCATTTACCTAAGAGATACTGGCCAGAAATTGGAGGATCATATTAGAAGTCACTTAGGCTTTGAAGAGATGGGGTAAAGTTTGAGTTAAGTTAACCGCCCCCTTTCTGTGCCTGGAGACTATTTAATCCAGTTTTAGAATCGCGTTGTGACTTCTTTTCTTTTTGGAGAAGCTTCTGTTTTAAGGAATTTCTCGCCCTTCACATCCTGCTTCTGCCTTCTCCTGGGAAGGCCTGGCTGTGGCTTCTGGGATCTGAGTTGAACTTTGGAAAGCAGCAGCAGTATTTTCCCTTTCCTAACACTTACGCTCCTTTCCCTAGAAATGGGCTCACCTTGGGAAGCCCAGGGGGAGAATAGCAGGTTCTCCACCCTCCCTGGGGGTTGGGGAAGGACCCGCCCGGTCAGCACAGTGCCTTTTCCTCTCCTGCTCTGAGCCAGGATGGATGTTCCCACGAGATTCAGGTCTGGGCAGGGGGTCTCACTGTTCCCGCTGTGGGGCTGCCTCCCCGTCCCTTCCCTCCCTTCCCCTTTGCTGGCCGGCTCTGACCTAGTCCAAGTGTCTTCTTGCCTCGGGGAGCCTTAATGGCATCATGTGGCAACATGTAATGCTGTCCTCCACGCCTCTCCAAAAAGATGTAGAAGAGCAGGTGAGCTTTCCAGAATGAGAGACTAATAAGAGATACTCCTGTGTCACAAAAACAAGGTGAGGAGGGAGGGTAAGCTTAGGGCCTCCTTCTGCTGTGACCCTGGGGGAAGGAGTGTAAGGGATGGTGCAGAAGTAGAGCCAGAGACGCCCGGGATCCGTTTGGAAACCAGAGAAGCAATCTGCTCCTCTTCTATGGGAAGAGACAATTAGGGATGAAAGAGCTCTAAGAAAATTGCAAAGAAGCCCTAATGTTCAAGCTTCAGAGAGATCGGAGTCATTTCTCCCTTTCAGTCCGAGCTAGGGCTCCTTCTGTATTTAGACCTCTCCTGGGGCAAGAGGGCTAGATTTCCTCGTTTTGTTACAAGACTAGGTTGGCACCAGTGGGTCCACTGCCCAGTGAGGGTGGTTTCTTCTCTGTTACGTGTGTGGCTCACTGCCAATCTGGTATGTCCTTGCCTAGCAGCCTTTGGCTAGCTGGCTTTCAGCTGCCAGACCATTTGGATAAGGGCAGGCAATTTGGGGCCTGGATGGGTTGGCAGGGAAAGAGCAAGATCGATCTCCTGGGACGGGTTCCCCACTCCTGCCCCCGCCCCCCAGGAGTATAAAAACAAGGAGCCAGGATGGTGCTGGCAGCCAGGGAAACAGTGGTGCCTGCTGGAGTTGGCAGAGAGGCCCTTGGCACCTCTTGCATCCAGGCAGTCTTGTGAGACGGGGGCACGCAGCACCAGGAAAAGCAGGACTCCATTCCCATCTCTATTTTGAGCTTTGGGCCTTCATGTCAGTATGAGGAAAAACAACAACAATCTGAAGTGCACCTTCTGTCCTTTCAAAGGACAACTGTCAGGAAAGGAGGGCTGAGTTGCCAGGTGGGAGAGGGGAGTTGGCAGGGCGAGGCGGGAGGACAGACCCGGGGGTGAGACACCCTTGACTCCTCTCTTCCCTGGTACGTTGTGATCCGGGGAATGAAAAGAAATTGGACCCTGGATCAGTCCCCTCGGAGGATTTTCCTTCCCCCAAGCTCTTCCACACTTGGACCAGCTGTCCCTTCAGAACTCAGGGCAGCCTCTTTAAC